TATTGATATAAACTGTTTTGATTAAGAAAGATTTAGGTTAAGGTGTGTTTTTGTTGTTGTTGTTGTTGTTGTTGTTAAATATTACTGTAGCTACATCAGATTTCACTTGGTTACTTGTTTACTATAACTTATTTTTATCACTAAATTCAATCTTTCTGTCTCTTTTAATAAATTGTTTTAATCTATTCTTGTTATGATTACTAATATATTTGGAGTTATTTTTCTACTATCTGTGCAATCTTTTTCTGTTTGCTATTCTTTTTTTCTCTATTGTCTGTCTATTTTAGCTTTGCCAAGTTTTTTACACACTCTTTAATCAGTATATTATTTTGGAATTTATACGTTTGTCTACTATTTTCTATAGTTTTCCTAAAGTTTTTCACATGCATAAAGGCTAAAGTTAATCATTACCAGGAACAAACTGATTTCTTGTGCACTCAACAAAAAATGCTTCAGTTCTGACTATTCTCCAGTGTGACATGTATTTTCCTACTATTTTAATTTCACATTTTTCTAACCCTCTTTCAAATTAGTCATTAGTATATTATTGTCTTCTAGTCTGTGTATATTTTGATTTAATTATTTAAAATTTTCTTTGTTTACCTACCTATGATTCTTGTATTTCAGTTTCTTCTTCTGGCTTTTTACACTTTTCTGAATTGTCACTTACAAGTATCTTCAAGACTGAGCTATAAGAGGTATATTCTCTTTGTCTTTATTGTCTGCCAATGTCTATTTCACTTGGACCTTTATAGAAGAGTTATACTCTATTATGATTGCAATTACTTTTTTTTCAGTATGAAACACATTTCTAAATTTTATTCAGGCTTCTATTGCTTGTGTGAAAACCTGTCAGCCTAACTTTTGTTACTGTGTAAATATTTAGTGTTCCTTTTTTATTGTTTGTAAAACTTTTATCATTACTCCCAGTGTTTTATATTTTCACTATCGTATGTCTGGATGTGGGTTTGTTTATATTTTTGTGTTCTTTAATTAAATGATGCTTCAATTTTGAAAAATGTCACTTCATAGTCTCTTTGGATACTGCTTCTCTCACGTCTGGAACTATTTTTAAAAATATGTGGTACTTTAACCACAAAATAACAAGGACTCTCACAGCCTCGGTACTGCCTGACTCTCTAACCTCATTCTCCCTGGGCTCTTCAGCCAAGAGCCTTCTTTGAAGGACCTTTAACAGGCTCTGCCCTGAGTGGACTGCTAAAATAACTTCTCTTCTGCCAGCTAACTGCAATTCATCCCTGAGGAGTGCTTCGCCAGATTTTTTGATGGGGCCTTTCTGTGCTCCCCTTATAGTACCTGCTATTTTTCCCTTGGAGCACTTGGGCCAGTTGCACTTTTACAGTTATTTGAGTATCTAATGAATGCATATCATGCTCTCTGACTAGATTTCTTGCTTTATAGGAGTGGTACTTTGTTTTTATTCTGGGCTCTCTGACTAGATTTCTTGCTTTATAGGGGTGGTACTTCGTTTGTTTTTTATTCTGTTGGCATTCTGTAGGCACTCAGGAAATAACAATGCTGAGATTCAAATTATCCAGGAACTATCAAACCATCAGGGATCCAAAGCAGTACTTACTCATCTCCAAACATCAGCTCCAGCTCCCCTATAGCAAACCAGCTGTCTCTCCTTTGCTGCAGACATTTAATACAATAAAAGGCTTAGTGTATATAACCTCTCTAAATTAAATAGTACACAGCACCCATGAGCTAAAACTGTGCCACATTCTTTAAGTGGCCTCCCACTTTAATTTCTATACTCTCTAGGCTGGAACTAACTCCGTTGAATACTTTATGGCTAAACCCTCCCCACCTTTTTAAATTCTGGAATAACTGAGCACTTTTTAAAAGTAATAACACCTTTAAAAATCAAAAAGGTGATAATTTGTTTTGTTCACACTTGAATTAAATAAATAACCCTCGCCCAGCCAGAGTATCTCGTTGGTTGAGAGTTATCCCATGCATCTAAAGGTTGCCGGTTCAATTCCTGGTTGGGCCACAGGTTGGGGATTCAATCCCCTGTTGGAACACATGTTTCTCTTTCTCTTTCTCTCCTTCCTTCCCTTCCTCCCTTCTTCTGCCAAGCATGTTCTCAGTGAGGTTTAAAAAATAAAAAAAGAGAATAACCTTCAAGGCATTTACTTAAGTATTTGTTGAACCCCAGTTGAGTGCCATTCATTACATTAGGCCTTTAGGATGCAATAATGCAAACAAACAAGGTCCCTGATGTCAATGAGAATATAGTCTAGAGAGGAAACATTATTCCAATACTCGTACTACTATAAACCTACAATAAAAAAAATATGTGAATGCTTAGAATCAAAGAAATATAATTACCTGTGAATATTTAATAAATTCACTTGACCCAGAAGGGAAATTTAGTAGGATCCGGGAAGGTTTACTTCATGAGTGATTACTAAACTAAGCTTTTTAAAATGAGTAGGAATTAATAAGATGAAGAGGAGAGGTCAACATTTCAGAAGAAAAATTAGTATCTGCAAATGTCCTGTGGCAGGAAGCAGCCTGGCAGCTATGAGAGTCTAAAAGAAGACCAGAGAGGTTAGAGAACAGAAAGGAAAAGGGAAACATCAGAGTTAAGGATATGGAGTTATTTAGGAGTGAAAGACAGGGATGTTGCTGGCTTATATGGGCTAAATAGGCCCAATGGTTATATTTTTAGAAATTTTGTGAGCCGTCTATTAAGTGATCATTGTTGAAAACAAAGGTAGGTATATAAACTTGTTAAATAAATTACATTGAAAATAAAGGTTTTCTGATTATGCTTTTTTAAATTTATCTTTACTGTTGAAAATATTACAGTTGTCAGTCCTCATGACCTCTTTCACCAGCTCCCACTCCCTCCTCAGGCCTTCACCACACTATTTATAATTATTCTTAATCATTTATAATTATTTCACTACATTTTACTAGTATTGGTACTCCTGAGCTTATTTATATCTATTCTGTTGGCATTGTGGAAACACTTCATAATGATGTGTTACTGAACATTTCTTTCCAACCTCACAGTCAGTGAAATTGACCCTCCTGGATGTTACGTTCTGAAAACTGGCAAACTGTTCAAATCAGGATCCCCTTGGGCCCCCAAGAAACATTGTTAAGCACCAGCACAGCCCTGAATAAGACTATACAGGACCTCAGAGACCATGTTAAAAATTGATCTTTATCACAGGAGAAGTGAACAGGCATTGAATGGTTCTGAGCAGGGCGGGGCAAGAGCACACACATCTATTTTTAAAAGATCACCGAGACTAGAGAAATGAAAGAGGAAGCAAGGTGACTCTGGGTGGCCTGGATGGTAGATAATGGTGCCTCAGACTAGGACCAAAGGAATGAAAATACAAGTGAATGGATTTAAGATATATTGAAGAGTTGAAATAGAAGGCTGAGATCGGGTGGTATTAGCATGAACCAGACATGAGGAAGAAGTAAAATCTCTATATTCTCCCTAATTTCTAGTTGGTTGTGATGTTTTCATTTTGAGCCCAATCCTGCCACCATGTGTCAAAGAGCCACCTTCACAGTTGAATAAACTTAAGCCTGATTAAGAGAAAAGGAAAAAACAAACAAGCCTACAAATACAAATATATGAATTGTACAAAAGTAAATTATTTGCCATGTAATTCACAACTTGTCCATTTTCATATACTGGTATGCGTAATAGTACAGTCCTGAGAAAGGCCTGCAAGTTCTCTGACTATGAGGAGTGGGAATGACTGAGGGCCCAGGTGCCATTCTCTGAAGTCCAGCATTTGAGTCAAGGTCATCCGCACACAAACTGCCTCCAAGCAGTGACTGAACAGGACAGAGACCCTAAGGCAAGCCTCTCTTGGGAGATGCTATATTCCTTTGATGGACAGCTTTAACTCCTCGACTCCCCAATGCCCTTAGAAAATCTTTCCTTAAAACTATCTAACATGCTTCCACCCAGTTTTCCTGTCTTCAGAATTCTTCTCCTTTTCTTGGGGTAGGCCTGATGGTTCTGACAAACTTATTTGATCCCCTGACTCTGCCTGTGTCTGTGGCATGTTTTGCGTGGTGGTTGTGACTTGGGTCTCTCCCTAATTGATAGCAGGCATCCGGAATTCTGTGTCCAAAAGAATTTTCTGTCTCCTTCCCCTACCCTGTCCTAGAGGATTTCATTGTCTGTGTCTTAGCGCTTAGAGGGGTTTTGCCATTTCTCTACTTAAAGCTTTAGTTTTGTAAAGAAAGGGGCCTGGGATATGGTTGGAGTTTGAGCCTATTTGCCTTGGAGGGACTCTTTCCAGTGTTTCCCCTGCCCTCAGTTTCCCAGGTGAGAGGCACATGAAAAAGGGCAAGTTGCCTTGTCTGGCATGATAGCACATGCTCTGCACATGACAGCACATGCTCTGCCTTTGGTCATCCGTTAACATTATAGCTGTTATTTTAGTCACTTTGATGGAGGCTGCCTCTTTTCCTGTGATTTTCCGAAGGTGAAACAATCTTTGTGTCCTATCTATCCAAAGAGAGCTTGAAACTCCTTTAGTTCTGTTCATTCGGTTATTTTGTGATCCTAGCTCTCTGATGGTCCAGTCAAGTTACGATTTTGAAAATGGTCTGGCTTCTTCTCATTTTTAGCATGAGATTAATGTTCTCCCATAGATGTCTATATGCCAAGCAAATCTCATTTTTTTGTCTTTAAAAACCAGGATTGTTTCTGCATCAGGATTTTATCTCTGGTGGGTATAGCAGTTAGCAATAAAATGTATACACAAGTAGTGTATTATATTCTAAGCATGTGAAATCATGATGTTATCAGTTGCCACTCTCATGGCAGCTGTTCTGTAAATTCATTGAATGAGAACATTATGCGGTAATGGAATACACAATTCAACATTAGCCAAGGCTCCCATCGTGGATCGCAGCTAGCCAAGAAGACATTGTTTCTAGGATATTTCGCTTTTGGGGTCATTTTTCAACACAAGTTCCCTTGTCCTTTCCAACCAGGTGGTTGACCAGATTGATACCCTGACCTCGGACCTACAGCTGGAGGATGAGATGACTGACAGCTCCAAAACGGACACCCTGAATAGCAGCTCCAGCAGCACGACAGCCTCCAGCATAGAGAAGATCAAAGAGCAGGCCAACGCCCCTCTCATCAAACCCCCAGCACACCCCTCCGCTATCCTCACGGTCCTGAGAAAGCCAAACCCTCCACCGCCTCCACCGCGGCTGACACCCGTGAAGAGCGAAGACCCCCAAAGGGTGGCGCCGCCCGCTGTCAATCCTGTCAAGACCAACGGCACCCTCCTGCGGAATGGTGGCTTGCCAGGAGCACCGAACAAAATCCCCAATGGAGACATCTGCTGCACACCCGGCAGCAACTCGGACAAGGCGTCCGTGCAGCCTCTGATGCATAGACCTGAAAAAGACAGGTGTCCCCAGGCAGGGCCTCCTCGGGAAAGGGTCCGGTTTAATGAGAAAGTGCAGTACCATGGCTACTGTCCTGACTGCGAGACCCGGTACAACATGAAACACCGGGAGGTCCATTTGCACAGTGAGCCCGTCCAGCCGCCGGGAAAGCTTCCTCACCCAGGCCCTGCCCGCCCTCCTCCGCCGCATCTCCCTCCATTTCCACTTGAAAATGGAGGGTCGGGAATAAGCCACAGTAACAGCTTCCCCCCTCTCAGACCTGCAACTGTGCCTCCTCCCACTGCACCAAAACCACAGAAGACGATCTTGAGGAAGTCAACCACTACAACAGTGTGATGTATGCCATTTAAAAACACTTTTTATTTTATTTTAATTTTTTTTTATATTATAAACATAATAAGTAATGAGCACTTTCTACTCAAGCAATAAAAAAGCCCAAATATAGTAATCCTGCATTCAGCAAAGTGGCATAAAAATCACCTGGTAAGTATGCAGTACATTGTTATATCCTGGGTATACACAGTTTAAAAAGTTGCATTATCGGAAACCACAGAACAATGAAAAAGCTGAATATATATATTTTTTCACTTAACCTGTAACAGTGGCTTGTAGTTTCAAGTCATTTGATTTACTATAAGAGGTGGGATTAGATTTATTTTATTCATGTGTAACTTATCTATATTAATAATATATCATACTATTGATTTCGACCTAATGCTTTTTAATAAGAAATTTTAATACTGAAGGACCATTTCATTATTTTTTTCTAAAGATGTTTGTTACTAGTTTTGCATTATTAAATTCTGAGGACAGTGCCAAAAAAGTTTATTTTCTATTCTAAACAACTAGAATTAACTATATGTTCAACTATATAGGTAATGAAATATTTGTTGTGTGGAAAATAGCATGCCAATAGAGAGTAGATAATAGCAAAACCAAATGTTCCTCAGAATAATAATAAAACAGTGGTGCAGTTAATCCCAAGTTAATACTCATCAAAGTGGGTAGTTTGGATGGAGAAAATCACAGTGAATTGTGTGAAATTTTTTCTAAATTAAATATCATAATCAAGTCATAAATATAATTTTATACATTTTTATAGTATATATATTTTGGACCATCTATTGAATGCCTCCTACACTGCCAACCCCTTCCACCCTTCTCACACCCACGTTTTTCCAGGACACAATTTAATCCAGTACATGTTGTATCAGCAAGTTCTCTGCCTCCCTGAGATAATTCCATTGATAGATAAATTATAGGGAAAAATAAAGATGCTTCTAGAACAGGATGTTTTTAGCTTTTACCTTAAGCTGATTGCCCGGAGAGTTGAAATATATCAGAGGTCTTTGTTATTCAATAAAAGGAAGAGAAAAATTCCTTTGCTTCTAATAGCCATTGAAGGTGTGTTTTTGTTTTAACTTAATCTAATTTACCAGTTTAGGTCACTTGTCACCCATGGACCAAGTTTATTTCCCTATTATCATGGTTTGAACTTAATTGATATTTGGCCCTAGAACTAAAAGTGAGTTTATTTCCCCTAAAATCATGATGGCAGGTGCATACCTGAATAATGTTTGTCCATTAAGTGACAAGAGTAGAGTCATCTTTAGTGAAAATTTATTTATGGCACAACTTAATGAAGAGTACTGTCTTTTTTTTTTTTTTTTTTTTACTAGTTCACTTTCGAACTTTAAACTTTAATTTTTGTTGCTACAGAGAAATCATATTCAGTTATATTTCCTTGTTGCCCTTTTCAAATTATATCATGGTAATTTAGAATACTATTTTTAGATAGATTTCTATTAAAAGATGATATAATATTTTAGGCAGAATGACTCAAAGATTTATTGTTTAAAGAAACAATCGAATGAAAACAAAGAGGATACTCAGAATGATTTTCATTCTGTGTTTGTGGACATGAAGGTAATGTAAATAGAATAAATCTAATTTTTCAGAAAATTACAAAACTTAAGACCAATAATCAAGAAAGGCCATAATCAAAATTTATTAATTTTATGATCAATATGTTTAATAAATATGAGTCAGGTAAACAAATAATTGATCTATTGAATAGCAAAATAATTTATTCTTAACTTTTTAATGCACCCATTTAGCTTGATAGAAATATACCCAAGGTTTTATTATCTTTCTATATTTAAATATTGTAATATTTTCAAATGTTCATCCAGTGTTAGACCTTTTGGTATGATAGTCTTAGAAGACATCTTTCTTCCACAACCTATTACTGAGACCCAATAATCCTATCTAATGATTAGGTATGCAAATTGACCATCACTCCAACACACAAGATGGCTGGCCCCATGTGGACACAAGATGGCCACCACAAGATGGCCAGCAGGGGAGGGCAGTTGGGAGGGATCAGGGCTGCAAGAGAGGGCAGCTGTGTTCAGGGTTGGACATAAAACTGTAGTTAACCATAACTTTAAACCACTTAATCCATACAAAGGACTATGGACTAACCTCCATAGTCCTTTGAAAGGGATGTTTCTGCAAAATATAAAGTGATAATACTGCCTATGAAAATATCAATTCTTAATGAAAGGCATAATATGTATACTTTAAAATGTAGTATTCATTAATTAAATTGGGATACGAAAGTTTTTGTTTGTTAAACAAAGATTATCTCACTTCTATGATGGGAGATTGTTGTGTTCCAGCTGATGAAAGGTAAAAAGAAAATAAAAATTGACCAAAGTTCTCTTTCATGTCCTGGTAGTTATAGCAGTTATAAAAAAAGAAACAAAACTGATATTTTTAGTTCACCCTTAAGCTAAATATAAAATAACTGCTCAAAAATGCAAGGCATACAAAAAAGGAAAAATTTCCCATTCTTTCAATGTTATATAATTATATTCATACCTCCCCCTCATTAGTTTAATAATATTCTAGAAAAAATGAGTCTATTAACTGAAATGGTTTCATTAACATAATTTTTTGTCTTTAAATTATGCCTGCATATAATAACTTAATGCACATGTGTCAAACACAAGGCCCGCGGGCCAAATCCGTCCCACCAGGCCTTGCAATGTGGCCCGCACAGCACTGTCATCACTGCACTCCGCTGTGTTTCCATCACAATGACAGTTTATGACTGTTCAGTAAACCATTCGGCCTGCGATTTAGGCTGGATTTTAGATTTTGGCCCCTTCTCTGATTGAGTTCGACACCCCTAACTTAATGAATAAAGAAATAAGGCCCTGCATTATATAGCTTTTTTTCTAATAAATCAGTAGTTAAATTGCTTATGGCAAAACCAAGAGCAGCAGCTACACAGTCTCTGAAACTATGCAAGACCTCTAAGCTAGAGGTTCTAATTTTAGCTCTTTGTGGATCCTCTATGAAGAAGAGCAGGAGTGGTTCCACTTGGAATTGCACCGGGAATGGTGTAGTCAAGTCATAAATCACTGCCTTAATTGAATTGTTTTCCAGGGAGTACATGCAAAAAATGCAATGTCAAGTCTTGTAATTGTCCTGATTCAATTTCTTTCTCTCGACTTTGTTAGTTGTACATCTTACTATAACATGCACTCAAATTTGTAGCAAAAGATTGCATTGTAATGTACTTCAGTGATTTCTAAATGAGGGGATGATTTATGAGCAATAAAAATTCATATGACATAATTGGGCAAAATATACAGATTCTGATGATTAATAGACACTATCAGAAAATCACACAATGTTTTTTGGTTCAATTTGACACTGTATTTCAATTTTTAGACTAAACATTTTGGAGTGTTAGAATCATTCTCACGTTTTCTAATTGTGAAGTAATGACAGATGTGATGCTACTGTGAGGGCATGCAGCAGTGTTGAACATAAAACTATAGTTAACTATATCTTTGTGGAACCACAATTATGTAGGCTGTCATTTTATTGGATACTAGGGGCCTGGTGCATGAAATTCGTGCACTGGGGGCGGGGGTGTCTTTCAGCCCATCCTGTCCCCTTTCACATACTGGGAGCTTTTAGGGGGTGTCCTACTGATGGCTTAGGCTCAATCCCCTTGGGAGCAGACCTAAGCTGATTTTAAAATGTAAGTAAATCAGCAAAGGGTATAGATTTGGTTGAAGGCTAAGGTAAAATAAGGATGACATATTGCTTATAATTTATAAGTTCTAGAGTTATAAAAAACTAGAGGCCCGGTGCACAAAATTCGTGCATGGGGGAGGGGGGTTGTCCCTCAGCCCAGCCTACACACTCTTCAATCTGGGACTCCTCGTAGATCGAACTTAAACAGGCAGGCAGACATTCCTTACAATCCAGGACTACAGGCTCCCAACTGCTCACCTGCCTGCCTTCCTGATTGCCCCTAACCACTTCTGCCTGCCAGCCTGATCACCCCCTAACCACTCCCCTGCCAATCTGAATGATGCCTGACTGCTTCCCTGCCAGCCTGATTGCCCCTAACCACCCTCCCCTGCAGGCCTGGTCACCCCTAACTGCCCTCCCCTGCAGGCTTGATCGCCCACAACTGTGCTCCCTTGCAGGCCTGGTCCAGCCCTACTGCCCTCCCCTGCTGGCCATCTTGTGACAGCCATCTTGTGTACACATGGAGGTAGCCATCTTTTGTGGGAGTGATGGTCAATTTGCATATTACTCTTTTATTAGATAGAATAGAGGCCTGGAGCATGGGTGGGGGCCAGCTGGTTTGCCCTGAAAGGTGTCCTGGTTCAGGGAGAGGTTCCTTTGGGGCATGGGGCAGCTTGGGCAAGGGACTGCTGGTGGTTTGCAGGCCAGCCATGCCTCCCAGCAACCCAAGCAGAAACCCTTTTATGTGGGATTTATCTTCTACAATTGAAACTTTGTAGCCTTGAGCAGAGGCCAGGGCTTGCCAGGAAGCTTGGCTTCCTCCATTGCTGGGGATACTCAAGCCTCCTGCTTGTTCTGTGGCTGCAGCCATCTTGGTTGGGTTAATTTGCATACTGGCTTCTGGGCGTGTCTTATGGGCATAGGGGAAGGTACGGTCAATTTGCATGTTTCTCTTTTATTAGTGTAGCTAGGTAAGCTAATAGTAACTGCTTTATAAAATTTTACATACATTAGAGTTTCATATTAATGTATAAAATAGTTATTATCCTTATTTATAAGTGAAGAAATTTAGGGTCTCAGTTTCAGTATTTTTTTAAAATCAACCTTTTAAAGTGATTTGGATAGTATTTTAGTGACAGCCTGACTTCCCATAATTTTTCCCCATAACATCACCATTTAATTGTGTTCTTCATAGCACTGAACTTTGCAAAAATTTTCCTTTATTCTTAACAGTTATTTTGACGCTTGAAAGGGGTTAGTTAATGTTGTTTTGACATTCTTAATATGTTTGATCTTTGCAGAATATGAAAGTGATCTCAGGCAATTTAGCTACCACATAAAATGAATGAGTTGCTGAATAATGAAAGCCTCATTTTTCTCCCGTATTGTAAGCGGCTTCACCTTTCAGTTTTTTTCCAGTGAGTTCAAAG